ACTCCTGAAACTGTGCTCGCGCATGCGCAATATCTCCCAAAAGGAATAATATTTTTCAAAGATTATGCATTTAATCTGAAGAGGAAGTATACTAGCATAGATTTTTATGATAAAATTCCATCAGTATATCTCTCTTAAGAAATCGGAAGAAGGCCTTACATGTAAGGTGCGCGATGCATATACCAGTCAGTACAGAATCTGGCCACGATAGTGTATTAGCCCATGCGCAATATCTCTCTAGAGGAGTTATATTTTGTTATGAAGATGCATTTAATTTGGTTAGGATGTATCCCAACATAGATTTCTGTAATAAATTATTATCGGTAGACCTGTGTTTATAAATAGGAGAGCGCCCTAGCCTGTAGGGTGCAAAACGCCTACTTCGCCCCTCCCGTCTTTCCCAATTGCCTCCCTTGTCCATCGCCCGGCCTCCTTTCTTCTTCTACCCCTCTCAGCTATCTTCTCTGCCCCCTTTCCTCAGTCCCCCACCCTTCATTCCCACAGCAAGCCATATTATGCAGTTTTTATTAAGTTTATATTGCACGCCTGAAACTGTGTTCGCGCATGCGCAATATCTCCCAAAAGGAATAATATTTTGCAAAGATTATGCATTTAATATGAAGAGGAACTATTCTAGCATAGATTTATATGATAAAATCAGGAGTCTATCAATAGATTGATTGAGTTATTGATAGACTCCTGATAAAATTCCATAAGTATATCTCTCTTAAGAAATAGGAAGAAGATCTTGCATATTTCGTCTAATTGAACTAGAATAACATAGTAATCATTTTATAATGCAATCATGTCCAGCTGCTTTTTCCTAATTTCGCTATACATCCTATATATACTGTAATATTATAATAATGTATATTCACAACTTGTTTTTCGTTACGTATATCGACGCTTGGGGGCGCTCGTACGTCATCTGAGTTAATTTGGCACGTTTTCATTCATTCGTTGATATTACGCGTACGTCTTTCTAGATGTACATAGAATATCTCTATTTCATCTAATTGTACCATAATATCATAGTAATAATTTTATAATGTAAAGCTTATATCTGCATTCTTATCTTGGCTGTTCCTGTTACGCAATATCCTGTATTTCCGCAATCATATCTGGCTGCTTTTTCCTAATTGCGTCATATAAACTACACGTAATGTAACTTTATAATAATGTATATATACAACTGTATTCGCAACTTTTCTTCAATACGTTTATCGACGCTTGGTGTGTGATTTGTGTTAATTTGTTATCTAATTGTGCTAGAATATCATAGTAATCAATTTATGTTACTTATCTTGGCTGTTCCTGTGACCTATTATTATTCTGTATCGTTTCCGCTTTCATATAGGTTGCTTTTTTCTTAATTGCGTCATATATCCTATATGTAGTGAATCTTTATAGTACACAATCAATGTATAATCTTACGCTGGTTATTACTGTTTTTTTTTAAAATATTGGCTGTTTCTGTTACATATTATTATTCTGTATAATTCCCGCTTTCATATCTGGCTGCTTTTTCCTAATTGCGCTATATATCCTATATGCATGTAGTACAACTTCATGATAATGTATATATTCGAAACTTATTTTTAATTACATAAATTATCGATGTTTGGCGGTGCTAGTGTGCAATTTTTGTCATCTAATTAATATACTAGAATATGATGTCTGCTTTCTTATCATAGCTTTTCCTGTTCCGCAATATTATTCTGTATCATTTCCTTTCATATCTGGCTGCTTTTTCTTAACTGCGCTGCGTATATATCTTATATGTAGTGCAACTTTATGATAATGTATATATTCGTGCTGAAGCGGTATAGTCAGGGGTGTTAGGGATATTTTGGTTCACATTCTTCCAAAAGCACCAAATTTGGCCCAGATGTTGCCCATACCATACTTTTTCGATTTCTGGCGGGCGCCGGAATGGGCGCCCCCCGGGGCCGCAGAGAGAGACGTTGATAATAAATATATAACACAGGT